TACATATGCCCTTCTCCAATCCTCCAATACAATTCCTGAAAGAAAAGAATACTGAAACATTCAAAATAATGGTATGGATATTTCTACACTAAGCTCCCTGAGCATATGTGGGTGAATACCCTCTTGCCCTGGGACCTTGTTAACATTAACTGTATTTAATTTCTGAAACCTGTAAGGTTTTTGTGTAAAAGGGATTTGAAAATCTACAGCCATAGAGTCTTCTTCCTTATATATTTAAGAAAAATAATTATTCTGATTTTCTGCCTTCTCCTGATCCTCCTTGTTTAACACAGCCATCTCACTTTACAATGGACCAACATTTTCACTCAAAACTAACCGTTTTGGCATTAATGCATTTGATATGTTCTTGAAGTTCCAATGCAATTAAAAGAGAACATACACTGATCATCCACAACATTAAAACTACTGACAGGAGAATAATATTGATTATATTGTTACAATGGCACCTGTCATGGGGTGGGATATATTAAACAGCAAGTGAACAGTCGGTTCTTGAGTTTCATGTTTTGGAAGCAGCATGTGAAAAGATCTGTTTGACTTTGACAAGGATCAAATAGTGAAGGCTAGACAACTGGGTCAGAGCATCTCTAAATCAGCAAGTCTTGTGGGTGTTCCCAGTACGCAGTGGTTAGCACCTAACAAAAGTAGTTCAAGAAAGAACAACCAGTGTCAGGGTAATGTACAACCAATGCTCATTGATGCATATGGTGAGCGAAGGCTAGTCAGTCTGGTCCAATCACACTGTAATTCAAATTGCTGAAAGACAATAGAAAAGTGTGAAAACATACAATGCATCGCATTTTTCTCCGTATGGAGCTGCAAAGCCGCAGGCCTGTCAGAGTACCCATGATGATCTCTGTCGAAAGCACTTTCAACTGGGGCGTGAGTGTCAGTACTGGACCATGGAGCAATGGAAAAAGGTTGCCTGGTCTAGTGACTCACAATATCTTTTAGATGAGGTAGATGACTATGTGTGCTTCATTTACCTGAGTAAGAGATGGTAGCCGGATGCACTATGACAAGAAGGCCGGCAGAGGCAGTGTTATGCTCTGAGCAATGTTGTGCTGGGAGATTTTGTGTCCTGGAGAGTGTTGTAGACCACATACACCCCTTTATGGTAATGGTGTTCCCTGATGGCAGTGGCCTCTTTCAGCAGGATAATGCATCCTGCTACACTGCAAACATTGTTCAGGAATGGTTTGAGGAACATGACAACAAGTTTATCGTGTTGCCTTGACCTCCAAATTTTCCAGATCTCAATCTGATTAAGCATCTGTTGGATGTACTGGAACATATTTGATTCACAAAGGCCCTACTCGCAACTTGCAGGACTGAAAGAATCTGCTGCTAATGTCTTGGTGCCAGTTACCACAGAGGTTTTGTGGAGTCCATGCCTTAATGCATTACAGTTATTTTGGAAGCTTAAGGGGAGACCTACACAATATTAGGTAGGTGTTTTTTTTTGTGGCTGATAAGTATATGGGGTGGTTTATGATGCACTGGGAACCCTAGCAAAATATAAATATGGAGTCCTTACAGTAGTGGGACACATAGGCGTTGATTTAATATTTTTGGATACGTTTTTCAAATGATTTAAAATTTTTGGATACAAATTTAAAATTATTTAATATTTAAAAAAATAAATTATTTAGATTTTTTTTTTATATACAGTGGTACCTGGGTTTACGTATTTAATGCGTTTTCCAGGACATTTCTTATTGTGAAAAATTTGTAATCCAAAATATGGTGTCCCATAGGAATGCATTGAAAACAAATTAATCCGTTCTGGAGGTCAGAAAAAAGTCAAAATGAGCTGGCATGGAAACCAACCCACAATGCAGAACACACAATAAAAAGCATGCAAATGATGAAGCTCAGCTCCCTACCTCTCCACCGCTTGAGAAATGCACCCAAAAAGTCCCAAAATCAATGCAAATAATTTCCAAAATGGCTCCACAACTCAATGCAAAAACCGCTCCAACACCTCCACACTCCTTGGGCAGATTGTTTTGGGCATGATTGCCCATTTGAGCGGTTCTGGTTACATGTCAGTGGCCCACCCTTTTACTCCGCCCACCAAAATCCTGCTTCACCAGACACTGCTGTTAGGGGGTATGGATTTACTTGAAAGGTGAAAACTAGAGATTAGCATAGGGTATGTGTTTTCTTAAAGCTATATCCTGCGAGTGTCTCACCAGCACCACCTCCTCCAGATACATAACAATTGGGAGGTATGACTGTTTTAGTGTTTTCTGTCGATACGATTCTATAATTAGGCCCATCATAATTGTCAGCACCAGGCCCAATGGGCTCTTAATTTGGTCCTGGGGTGGACATTAGTATGTCTCTTCCCATTTAATAAGTAACCCTCACCCACTGACCACATGTAAGTAAATCTATTTTGAATTATTTTACTTTTATTGTAAAAAAAAGTAAAACTTGGAAATTATATTTTTGGTTTTAAAATTGTGGTAGAACTAACACATAACAAAAGTGTTAAAAGGCTCATTCACATATGGACAGTAAGTGATAGGCTGATAGCATCAGTTGAAACCATCATTCTGTCACACAAGTCAGTATGTCCCTGTTAGCTGAGGGACAAGGAGGGGAGAGAGGAGGGGGCATGACAGCAGCCCAGGGACAGAACTTTGGGTTTAAACCAGTTGGATATTGTTCAATGCTATAAAGTAAGACAGTGCTTTGGGACTGCAGGCCTCATAACAACTTAATTGTGGGGCCAGGTTGTTCCTTTAAAACACCTTTTCCTTACCTCCCCTGTTTATCCAATTGGTTATCACTTAACAGCCCTTAATAAAATTTTAGGGGTTTCTATACTTGTTCACATGCCTCTAGCCTTCCAGCTGCGCTTGGAAAAGATGGATGCTAAGGGCCAGTATGTTATACTCTCATACTTTATTAATATATATAACTACACATTAATAAATCTATATGCCCTTTTCACAAGAGACAGATTTCAATCCATAAAGGAACACTCCAACTGATTTTTTTTAAATCTAGCAGATATATCTCTGAAGAAATATTACATGTATTTCTTCCTGCATATTTTCTTTGGGCAGCGGCGTACATACCGCGGTCGCAGGGGTCGCAGCTGCGACCGGGCCCGCCACTCCAGGGGCCCGACCACCTTGCCGACCCCTGTGACCAGGTATGTGTGTGTGTCTGTCTGCCTGTTTGTATGTATGCCTTTGTATGTGTGTGTGTGTGTGCCTGTATGTGTATGTATGTGTGTCTGTGTGTGTGCTTGTCTGTTTGTATGTATGTATGTGTGTCTTGTGTTTGTCTGTCTGTATGTGTCTGCCTGTGTGTATGTGTGCCTGTCTGTTTTTTATGTATGTGTCTTTGTATGTATGTATCTTGTGTGTGTGTGTGTGTGTGTGTGTGTGTGTCTGTCTGTATGTGTGTGTCTGTATGTGTGTGTCTGTATGTGTGCCTGTCTGTGTGTGTGTGTGTGTGTGCCTGTCTGTATGTGTGTATGTGTATGTGTGCCTGTCTGTTTGTATGTATGTGTCTGTGTGCCTGTCTGTTTTTTATGTATGTGTCTTTGTATGTATGTATCTTGTGTGTGTGTGTGTGTGTGTGTCTGTCTGTATGTGTGTGTCTGTATGTGTGCCTGTCTGTGTGTGTGTGTGTGTGTCTGTGTGTGTGCCTGTCTGTATGTGTGTGTGTGTATGTGTGCCTGTCTGTTTGTATGTATGTGTCTGTGTGCCTGTCTGTATGTGTGTCTGTATGTCGGTCTGTATGTATGTGTCTGTGTGTGTCGGTCTGTATGTGTCTGTGTGTGTCTGTCTGTATGTATATATGTGTGCCTGTCTGTTTGTATGTATGTGTCTGTGTGTGTGTCTCTATGTATGTGTGTGTGTCAGGAGGGGGGCCCACTGATCATTTTCACACCGGGGCCCCATGGCTTGTGTGTACGCCACTGTCTTTGGGGATATATAAAAAGCTTGCAAAGATCAAATAACCAAAAATGGGGGAGGGAGACAGGAGAAAAGTAAGGAATTGTGGTGGAGCATCCTAGAGAGTGTAAATCCCTTAGGAGGGAGGGGGACAGTAAGACACTGTATGTACCACTTTAACTAAAATGTAAACCTTAACTTGTAATATACATGCATAAAACCACAAGAGCACACACTAAGAACGTAAGTGAATCAAAATATATAATGATACAGAAAATGTGTATATATGTGCAAGCAGCCCCTCGTTAGATCAAAAGTGTTAGTTGCAACAATTTATACAAAATGTATTCAAGGGCTGCCGCTCAAGATACAAAAGTAACCCAGAGCACTGGTATACATAAATACAATTGCAGCCTCTGAACTGTAGTGACAGGCTGCAATGAAAATAGCGTCCTTATAGTGAGACAGTTATTAGGTATAACTCGTCATGGCTCGTCTCGGCTGATACCAAGATAGTGTAATGTACATGAATAATATAACCCGATAAATAAAACCGCTACAAGATGAAGCGGTAGGGTTATTATTCAGACGGCACAGTATAGTAGTAACGGCTAGTTGGTAATATATAACACCCGGTTTTCGGAGTGTTATATAGGCAGTAGTATGCCTATTGGTATCCGTAGCCTACTGTTGCCAGAGGCACTGCGTTAGTGCCATGAGCGCATATACCCAGACCGTGTATAGTTAAATGGAGGGAGATCCAGAGCGAGTAGCTAGTATCGCAAAACAGGGCTGCGTATATATATATCACAAAGGTGATGTGTATATATACTGGGTGCAGAGCAGCAGCAATAATAGGTAGAAAGATTACTGGACTAGCTACCAAAATTATCTACTGTCTGGAACCTTTGCAAACTTTCCCCTCTTTTCCAATCACAATCTTTCAGAATTGGCCATCAGAAGCTTCTCTGGACTGCACTGGAGCTGTGTGCATGCATATCCATAGAATGCAACTCCTGACATTTTATGCATCAGGAGCCAAAGAAGACTTTCAAGAAGAAGATGGTAGTGGCTGCAATGGCTAACCTTCTGGTAAGAAAATCTACCTCCCACTACACCCTGCAGGTATCAAACCCTGACTGGAGATGTTACTTGCAGGAGTCTTTGCAGAATATACAAAGATCTCTGGATGCGACAAATCTCCTTTACAATTTCTGTATTTGTTGTTTCATATTTTAGAATTCTGTAGTGCCACTTAAGCAGATGTGGCCCAGTACAAGAGGCCTGTTTTACCATTTTCAGCTTTCCAGCTTAGCACCTATATTAATTTTATTTGGCCTATTTTGGAGCTGAAGAAAAGGCAAAAACTAGTGTTTCAGAGTAAATTCTATGGTTTTGTAGACATTGCTTTAAATCCAGCCAGGTGGTTCAACTTTATACATGTTATGGTGGCTTCTCTTCCTGTCCCTCTCTTAAGCCATACAATCTACTTTGACAACTGATGCTCATTAAATTTACTTACCATGGACGTGCACATAGGGTGTATCTGGTGTGCCTAGGCACACCCTAATGCAGCCAGAGGCAGCCTTTCTTTTATTTAATACATTTCCATTCATTTAAGTTTATTAATTGTATTTGAACTGCTCCTATCAGTCTTACACTCCTCCTGTATGTATCATTGGTAGTACAATCTGGACTCAGACCTAGAGTTAGAAATTAAGAATGCCTTGTGAGCTCTTCTCGCGAGCATGCTTGGAGAACTAATTTTTGGTCTCTAATAGACTGCAGCTGAAGAGGCGCCTAGGACACTGTAGAGCTGACAAATACCTCTGGCAGCCCGGCAAGTACTAGTGAGGCACTGGAAGTGACTGATGTGACTCTAGAGCCATCATTCTGATTGCCATCAGGCTTATGCAGGGCCGACACTACCAAGCACTGACCCATCAAAGATCTCCCTGTTCTTAAAATATAGAGATTATTATTAGATTAGCCATAGACCAGTGGTAGGCAACCTTCAGCACGACAGATGTTGTGGACTACATCTCCCATACGCACTTACACAATAATGCTAGCAAAGCATCAAGAGAAATGTAGTCAATATGCTGGCTAAGCATCAAGATAGATGCACACCTGGACTGTAGAAGGTTGCCGACCTCTGTCATAGATTTACAGCCTGCTTACCTGATTTATCCCATTGCATAATCACTGATGACGCCACTAAATATTCAGTTTTGTTTTCATTTCTTTGTTTTTGTTTTTTTATGTGCGGGGTTCCACATAATTGTCCATTGTGACATTTAAAGGGACGCTGTAGGCACCAGAACCTCTACAGATTAATGTAGCGGTTCTGTGGTAAACAGCTTGTCCCTGCAGTCTTTCCGATGTAACTGTCTTTTTATTTATTTTTTTAAAGGCAGTGTTTACACTGTGCCCTAGTAACATCACTAGATGTCTTCACTCAGACAGCCACTAGAGGGATTTCTTCAGTTACGACATTGCAGGTGCTGTGAATGCTTCTGCAGAGTCACACACACACACAGCATGCATGCGCAGTGTAGTGCTCAATTCTACTCATTTAGCAATATTAGTGCTAGGCTGAATGCCGGCTACTGCCGCACAAGCACTATATGTGTCTATGAGAAACGTGGGGCCCATTATTCTAAAAGAAGACAATATAACACATGTGGTAGCTAAATAAGATTTCTACTTTTCTCGAGTTTGTTTGCCTACACCATACACAATGCGCTATTCTCCCCTAGGTTGTTTTGTTTTGTTTTTCAACACAGGACCTCTTCTTTTCTGTTATTTCTATTTCTTAAAACATAAGAGAAGGCTCGGCTACTATTAACATACACACTACAAGATGCATAGACAACTCAGCTGTGTTTTTGAATTTGCAGTAGCATTGCCTTAACACAAGCACAAACAGTCACAGACAGGCACACACAGACAAGCACACCATCTTATAGTAATGTGCATAGTAGAGTATCACAGAGCTCCACAACTATGTGTTAATATATATAATTTTTTTGTTTTAAGTGTAGAATGTGTGTCTACGGGCTATAGAGAGTGTGTATACAGTACATACAGTGCATGTGTAGGGGAAATAGAGTGTTTGTGGAGAGGATGCAGTGTGTGAGGAATGCATTTTGTGTGCTGGTGATGCAGTATATATAGGAAATGTTTTGTGTGTATACTGGGGAGCCGGTGTGTGTGTGTGTATATATATATATATATATATATATATATACACTCACGCACAATTTAAATTCTACTTGGCACTCCACCAACAAAATAACTAAAGTAAGAACTCTGTTATACAAGCCCCCTCCCCCCGGTTACCTTTAAAGCAGCGAGAGGTTTATTATGACAACCCCTGTTTTTTCAGTGTGTGTAGAGCCTCTGATCTCTCATTTTGTTAGGAGCAAACCTTTTATAATGGCTCTCTCGAGTTCCAGACTCTTAATTTCAGAGCTTTGCCATGGTAACCCAAGATTCTGAACATCCTGGAGCTCACAGGAGCCATACACCAGCTCTACATCCAGCAGAGAGTGTGCGCAGAGGCGCTTTGGGCTCTGCATTCCTCTCCACAGTGGGAGAAACACGTTGGTGAGGGTAGTCTTGAACTCCACCAGTGCATAAAGGCACCCTTCTGCATGGACAGCAGGGTGTTTAGGAAGTGCTGCCATCCCTGCAGAAAGGTCATTCTGGGCTTAATAATCCCCCTGTTGAAGCCATGGTGTACATTAATTTAACAGCAGATGATTTACAGCAGCTGTGAAATTAAAAGAGTTAACTCATCAGGCAAAATTAAAATCCATGAAAACAAAATTAATCAGCATGCTTAAATGAAATGAAGCATAATTTACACAACACAAGCTTCAAGCCATTTGAGCTTATTCCCAGGGAGAAGGGATACGCCTTTTTTAAACAAGGAATTTAAATGTCATTTAACAATTATGAATTAGCCTAAAGGGAAACATACATAGTAAAACAAACAGTTTTCTTTTAAGTCATTTCACAACTGTAAACATCTATACAATTTCACCGGTATGGATCGAATAATTGATAATACAGTATAATAAGGAGAGAGGAGGAGAAGGGGAAGAGGGATAAAAAAAATAGATGGCTTCACTCTCAGTCTTTTATAAAATCCAAAACTTATTTTATATCCATTAAAAAGATCAATGTTTCAGTCCCTCTAGAGGACTTCCATCAGGAACAAAGATGTTTTTGCATCCGGCTATGAATGTTTATACAGCATGAGTGCAGGGATTTACAGCAATGTATATATATAATATATATATATATATATATATATATGGAAGGCGTGGCCTGAAGTTGTGGGAGGAGCTTGGTTTCCCTTCTTAAGGAGCACCAGCCCTTCCCTCACTACCGTCTTAGGTCTGGTGAGTTGTGGACAGGGATCTTCACTTCCTGTCGATCCAAACTCCATTTTACTTACCTGCATCTCGTGGGCAGCTTCCCGGGTCCCAACGGTTCCCGTTTCTCCGGTTTCGGCTGTCTGACTTTGAAATCAGACAAGGGGTTTCACGGGACGTCTCGTGACGGCATCCGGTCGCAAAATCGTAAGTTCTACAGCCGTCGCAATTGCGGCACGGCCAATTATGTCATCAAAGGTCGACGGGCGCACGCATGGTAGCGCATTTCGGGACACATTTTAGGCGAATGCTGGCGATGGGCGATGTTTAGCATTTCAGTGATTATGGACCTCTTATGTTTCAGTATCAACAGCATCCACAGTGTGCTGCTACTCTACCAACTTTTCACCTGCTATAGGTCAGTAATCACGATTAATTATCCTCTGATGGTCTCGCAAGACCTGGGTCCTTATGTGTATTTTTCTGTATTACTAGATATAGGCATCCTTGCTCCTTTTGAGTAGTTGGTTCCAGTCTCCTACTGTTGGAATATTTACTGGTAGGTATCTTGTTAGCAGGGGGAATGATGGGTACATATTGATATAACCCTGAAAACTCACAATTACTCTCGTAGGTTACTACAGATCGCCTGTATCACCTTTTTCTACTACCTTGCAATTTGCTCATCAGGTACATCATGTTTCTCTCGATAATTCTCCCATCCTCCCTACCCTTTTAAGGGGTTCATAGTACAGATATATACTGGCATATAAAATAGGAGCCTCTAGTAATGTTTTCTGGCCTTCTACGCCTTACGTTAGTGGTCCCGCGAGGCCAACACCCATCCTCATTTTGGAGGTATGGCATTCCCTCGGGCCAATTCATAGGTAGCCGCCTCGTTCGGTTGCATAGAGAGGGCCTCACTTGTCACTCCCATTCTGTCTTATGCTATTACAAGTCACGGAGAGGCCATCACCCCGCCATAATGTCAATGGCCACGTACCCCACACGAGCCAAATCATAGATAGTGCCTCTCAAAGCCGCTTGGCAACTAGCAGGGCCTCACCTGTCATGTTATTACTTAATAGTTTCGCCGCTTGGCGTTAGTTGCATCAGCCAGTTGGGTAGTGCCCCAGGTAACATGTTAATTTGTTTTGTAGCATGTCACAAATACCTTAAGGCGGGGAATAATTGTCCATCCCCAGTTCACCAGCTAGATCGGTCACTCCATCCCGGGGTGACGACAACGCAAGCCCTGCATCACTCAGGGCATGGACCATTCCTAGGATCACTGCCAAACTGAGAAAGAGGAACATTCCTTTCCCAGCTACGGCTAGGAAAGCTGAATTATATAGACTGATAACTCGGGGGCGGGGGAAGGGTCCAGTAGCAGCCTGATCTACATTGTGTTTAAGCAGTGTTCTAAGCAGTTGTATACTGCAAACACAGATTAAAAGGAATCCATGTTTAAAATGGAATGAGGCAAAAATGTGATTCTTTGTTAAACTAATTTGCATATGCCCACCCAGAATCCTTTGCGGTTGTAACATCACTGCAGATTTGGGATTTCTGTGGGAAAAGCAAGTCTTATGGCTTGACTGGTGTGCAGATTTTTATTTAACATTGTATTAACTATATATATATATATATACATACACACACACACACACACACATTGTCTTCCAAGATATTAGACTGCCCCTCCCCATCTAAACCCATCATACATGGACATTTCAATATGTTGCCCAATAATGAAAGGAACAGGCTGAATATCCTCACTATCATATTGGCATAGAGCTATAGATTAAAATCACACTTTGGCATCTGCCAAACTTTCCACTGAATTTTGAAATTTAAGATTCTGTAAGACACCTTAATAACCAAATCAGCTCATTTATCATAAAACAATTTTTGTAGGCTACCAAACAAGGCAAGACAATGTCCTCAAAACTAAACTCTTCACTGACAAGTTTACTTCTTCTAGCAAACAAACTACATCTAATCATACTCAAATGTTGAAATTGGTTCTAGACTAACTTAAACCCCAGATATAAATTTTAATCACACCAACTTCACTAAATTGAAGAAGTGCTTTTTTTTTTTTCTTTTTTTTTTTTCTTTAGAAAAGAAAGAACATATTATTTAGGGGAGCTCTGAGTGGAAGCATTTTTCAGGGTTCTTACCTGAAGTCGGAGTTTGTTTGCTCACCCTTGCAGATAGATACAGTCCAAGGTGACCAGGTAAGAAGCCACCTGGACTGTGAGTCTGTGCACTGGGGGCTGTGCAGGAAAGGTGATTCCAATGCAATACCGACAAGGACACAAACAGCAGGATAGTTGAGCGATAGCTAAAGTCAAAGGATCAAAGGATGCCAGAGGTCAGGATAAACAAAGTGTATCCAAAGTCAAGGGATGTCAGAGGTCAGAATAAACAAAGACAGAAGTCGGGGTCAATATGGAGTATAAGGTCAAGAGACTAGAACACAGGAACTGAACACATACACCAGGATCAAATACTTGATAACATTCCCAGGGCAAGGCAGTGCTTATATACCCAGCTAATGACTGATCTGTCTCAGGTGAAGCACAGGCAATGACCACAGAAGAAGTCCAGCCCCTGTGCTGTAGACATAGCCAGGTAGAACAGTGCTAGAGCTACTCCAAAGAATAGGAACTGCTGTGAGAATAGCAGGGCCAGGACAGCAAAGGACCCAGGTTCAAACCCCCCTGTTGGGCACCTCTGGGGCGGCCACACTTGGCCGTCTGTATGGCACGGTGAGAACCAGAATAGGTCCATTTGCCAGTGGACCTATTTATTGATGTTCTTATATATTCCAAGAGAGCTAATTCCCTCTCTCCTACATTGAGTTCTCAATTTAATGTAGCCTCCAGGTTCCATTTTACTAAAATTGAAATGATAGCACATCACCCCAGCATCAAACAGAGCTGAGGGATACCTTCCATTCCATTTGTGTGAGTGTTAACCTTTTTACCTGTTCTGTTTATAATTTGGCAATGTAATATGTAGTTGAATGGTGAATAGATATAGGTTACCACTACATACACTTTGTCGGTAGCAGGTCAGGCTCACGTGCCATAGATCTTATACATTTGTATGAGTCAGATTTAATTCATTGTTATTCACTACCTTTCAGACATGGTGTAGATTTTGCAAGAAGGTAAGATATTTTGCTGAGAGCTCACTCATTCTCCCTGTGCTAGGTAGTCTGTTTTCCTCTTCACTACTATCCATGCTTTGTTAGATGTAGATTACTTTGGTCAGGGACTGATGGGTGATCTGGACCACTGATTTCGTCGATCTGTACCTCCAAGACAATTGTAGATGCCTATCTTATAATCAACAAACCCTTACATACAGCTACATTTCTGGACACCCATAATTCTACATAGGTTATATTGTTTATGAGATTATGACATACTATGTTTGTCAGTGTGTACAGAGACCTCCTTGTCTCTTGTTATTACTTCATCTCTGTCCCATTGCACCAGGAATTTAATAAAGATAATAGGGAAAGCATGAGGCTGTGTACCTCAACTATATTGTATCCTAAAGAAGGAAAAATAGCATTGCTTCATTCTGTTTATTAGCCCTTCATAGCTGCAATTAAAGCTCTAATACATATTTGCTTCTAAGAGATTCAGAAGACTGAGATTTAGCTTATAATTAGTCCATAATATGGGTAGACTGGTATATATTACAATCAATAAATCATCATACTGGCCCATTGTAATTTTGCTGTCTAAAGGTGATAGTTTATTAATACCAGTCCAACAGGGCAGAGAATGTGTGAACAATTCCAATTGATGTCTAATTAGACATGGCAATGTATACTATACATTTATAATTACACTAGGACAGCGTGAGCTGATTTGTATGGTTAATTACTATTGGAGCAACTTGATTTTGGCAATGTAAAATGAATCCATATTCTTCATAATTATTTATCCCCTGGCTGGGTTCTCTGTGTCTTATTTATGTTCATTTTATTTCACATTATATAATGGTTGTGTCATTTTGTATAAAGTTTATGGTTATTTTAATTGAAAATAATCATTGTCATCTAGGCTGTTCTCAGTGAAAAAATATGATTTATGTATGGGCAACTGAAAGGGGAAAAGGTGGATTATGTGAATCCTGGTTTCACTGCTAATATTTTGGAAACTAAGTTCAGAAAGAAAAGCACTCCATATTTGGTGTTTGTCCCAGTGTAAAAATAAGAGGCTTAGACACATTTCTTGACGAATGACAGGACTGCTATTTTCATTCTATCTACCTTAGGCTAATTCTCAGCATTATGTGGATTTGTGTTTCCACATGTTTAAACAGCTTCTGGTCAGACATAATACCTCGTCAAGCCATGTAGAATTTTATAATGCATGTGTCAAACCAACGGGCAATGAAAAGTGTATGTTTGTATGGAGAAATTTATGCCTTTAAGGAATAAATTGTGTATTTTTACATTTCTGCAAAAAACTGATTTAACAAGAAAATGACAAATTCGTAGCTAAACTAATAAAAATGTAGTCGTTGTTTAGCAAACCAGGGGCAGTTTGAGAGTGAGTTGCACTTCCATATTTAGTGGTGGTGCAATAGATAGAAAAAAGCGTTGGATTGAGCTCTCATATCACTGTAATAATAACAATACAATGTTATTGCTGTGGAGCTCTGTTATACCCTCTTACAATATGTTTTATTGGTTTGAAGCTCTGTGATATCATTCATATATTGCACATCATTCCTTCTCCCTTCCTCGTATGTCCCTTGTCTCATTCCCTTTCCCTTTCCCTTTTCACATACATCCATCTCCCCAAGCCATCATGTCTTCATTTCACCCACTTATTCTATGCACTTCCCCACTGATTACACCTATTCTGTAATACCCTCCCGATTTCCCCTTTTAAACAAACTCCCCCTCCTTATTAAACTTCATTTATCCTTAAACTTCTTTTTTATCAGTCTCCCCCAATTTATTATATATCTGACCTACATGTTATGTCCCCTCCACATCTCGTTCTATTCTTCCCACAAATTATTTTTTTTATTTCTTTCCCTCCTCTACCCTTTACACAACTTTCCTTTCCCATCTATCATGCAGGAAGCAGTGATGGGCAGCTGCGATACATACTTTCATGCGAAAAGACAGGTCTTACCACTGGCATTCCATTGTAATCATATATAAAATAAAGCACGCGGACGCATTCGACTTTACAGTCTTCTACTTCACAGTGTTTGTTTATGTATTTTTATGTATGTATTTATGTATGTATTTTTTTTTTACTCGGTTAATAAAAGAGTGTTTTTGAGTGTTTTTTATACTGTTTCCTGCTCTGAATTTCTTCCACACGGATGCAATATCAAGGCCTTGATATGCAAAGAAGAGATTTCTTGGGTCATTCGTGTTCGGATCATGCCATTGAAAATCATTCATACTTATATTGCTTTTTTTTGTCTCCACTTGATAAAGCCACTATAGGTGAAACGCGTTGTGGATATTTTATATATTTTATTCTGTATTCCAAATAAAGGTATTTTGGCTACTTTTAAATCACTCTGATTGTGCCATTTTACTCGTTTATTTATTATTTTTAATTTTGCTTGGTATCCTGATTTTATCTCTCCTGCTGAGTATTACTCCAAAGACATCCGAGGTGGGGATTTTACGACTCACGCCTAAGTCATTGAGCAGTCCGCCTGCTCAATCCTATGTGAGTACACATTTTATTATTTATACTCCTTATATGAGTTTTTATACAGCGAGCACTATTAGTTGTCTCTCTTCTCCCTTACGATTTACATATTGGCAAAAGACTTAACCCTCTACATGCATCCTACAAGCGGGGATTATACCGCTGTACGCTATTCATACTAGAGCTGGCTTAAGCTCTACTAAACGTGAGTAGGACTGTATTAGACTCTGTTGTTCTAAACAGCATCTTTACCAGACGTACTGCCCTTTCATCTGTCTTTCTCTTCCACATACAGAGTAAAAGACCGGTACTTCTCTACGTATCCTATAAGTGGGGATTGTACTGCTGTTTGCCATCCACACTAGAGTTAGTTCAGCTCTACTACACGTGAGTAGGATTTCTATAGATCTCTTCTTCCTGCATATCAACCCTCGTATCAGACGTATTTGCACTATTATTTGTTTCTTTCTTTACATACAGATCCTGATAAACCATCTTCAAGTGACCCTTAGAGAGAATACTCCTCCACAAAGGCCGTCGGTGCCCCATCAGGCCCAACTAAAGACTTTGTTTTGGCACCACTTACACTTTGGACTTTGTTCATTTCAGCTGCACTTTAGCCAGCTTTGGCGCAACCTTCTTCTGTTTTGTCTTGTATTTTACCTTTGTTCATAGGGCTTAGAGAGAACCCTATTTTTAGGTTGCTGCCTCCTACTTTATCTATTTATAGGATTGGTCTATTTTAGTGCTGTTTCCTTCTTTTGTACATTTATATTGCTAAGTGTTGTTGTATATGGTGCAAGCATATAGTTTTTTTGTTTGTTTTTTTATATATTTTTGTTTACTATGAATTGTGTTGGAACACTTTGTGAGCTGCATGGTGTTTGTATTATGTTTCACACAGTATCTTAAAGTGCCAGCACACTTTTATTTTTTATTTTAATATAGCAACTATCAGATGACTGGGACCACGAAAAATGATTCAAAATCCATCACTAAGAGTACCCAGGGGTGGGGGGAGGAGCTACTGAAGAAAAAAATGTAAGCAAGAAAATGCAGCCGCCCGAGCGCTCTGTAGAGAGCCTCAGGCGGCTGCAGCTTTCCCGGGCTGGTGCGTCCATGAGGGCGGACCGCACCGCCCGGGCGCAGCCTGAGGAGAGGGGCTGACAGGAGGGAAATGCTCAGTGCTCCCGCCTGTCACTCCCTCACTGTAGCGTGGCCGAGCCCAGTATAGTCCGCGGGTACAGGGAGCATCTGTCTCCTGTACCCGGCCGGACTAACAGGAAGTACACACTGAATGTTCACTTCCTGTTAGTCCGGCCGGGTACAGGAAACAAAAGCTCCCTGTGCCCACGGACTATACTGGGCTCGGCCACGCTACAACAGTGGTAGGGGGGAGGGGAGAAAGAAATTAGGAAGGGGGGGGAAAGAAATTAGGAAAGGGGGGGGAGAAAGACAAATTGGGAGGAGGAGAAGGAAATTGGAGGGGGGGAGAGATTGACATTCATCACACACACAGAAAAACACACAATGCATTACACACACAGACACACATACACAAGCAATGCAACCGTTACACACAATGCATCCCTTACACACACAGAAACACACAATGCATTCATTACACACACTCAATGCACCCCTTACACACATTCAATGCATCCCATACATACACAGAAACACACCTTGCAGCCCTTACACATACAAACACAATTTCACACAATGCATTCCTTACACACATATCAGGACATCCCCTACACACTCCACCCCCTGTGAACAAACTCATTGGTGGAACATGAAGGTGGACCCTGGGACCCAGACCTTGAGCTGTGTAGAGGGTCCCCAAAAAATGGAGCTGCTTCCCGTTCTCCCAGAACATTGATTTTTGTGACCACAGTTACAAACCGCCTCCAGAGAGCCTGTTCTACACCAGACCAGTGGAGCCAGACTGCAGCTAGAGCCCATCATTATCCTCATCTGGTTGTAAGTAGGCATTCTAGTATATTATTCGTGGCACTCAGCTCTAATTCACCTCACATTAAAGAAACACTATAGTCCCCAGAACCATTTCAGCTTAATGTAGTGGTTCTGGTGTCTATAGACTGTCCGTGCAGGCCTTTTAATGTAAACACGGCAGCACTGCAGCACTGGCGTTAGTTAACATGGCAAATCATATGGGTGGGGCATTGTGATGTCACATGGGGGGGCCGGCAAACTTTACTTTTGCTTAGGGCGGCAAAAATCCTTGCACCGGCCCTGGCTGGAGGGGGCTGTGTGAGCTGTGGCCGCACAGTGCCCCATGGTAGTTAGGGTGCCGCATGGAGGAAAAGTGGGGCGGAGCTAATCAAAATTGGGGCGGGGCCAAACTGGCATTGGGGGCGGGGCTTAAAATGGCCCTTACCCACTGCTGTTAGGAGGTGCAGCAAGATGGAATCTCTGCTTCTCCACAGGCTTCAGAGAAGGACTTCAGGGAATCCAGTCCAGAGTGTGTGTCTGTGTGTGTGTGTGAGACTGTCTGTGTGTAACTGTCTGCCTGTAACTGTGTGTGTGTCTGTGTGTAACTGTATGCCTGTAACTGTGTGTGTGCGTGTGACTGTCTGCCTGTAACTGAGTGTGTGACAGTCTGCCTGTAACTGAGTGTGTGACTGTCTGTCTGTAACTGAGTGTGTGACTGTCTGCCTGTAAATGTGTGTGTGGGGCTGCAGGGATTTTGTAGGCGGGGGCGGGAGTTTTGTATTGGGACAGGAGTCTTTATAAGGGGGGATAAGCAGGGGATTTATGGAAGGGGGTTGCGGGGGTTTTGTAGATGGAGCAGTACAGGATTTGTAGAAGGGGCAGGACAGAGATTTTGTAGGAGGGGCGGGGCAGGACAAGGGTTTTGTAGGAGGGGCTGACAGCGGTTTTGCAAAGTTTACAAATTGTAAAAAAAGAAAACCTTTAACATTTTGCACGGGTTTTTTTTTGGGGGGGGGGGTAGGGGAGGAGGGGTGCCAACCACAGGATCCGCCACGGGTGCCAAATGCTCTAGGTACGCCCCTGCTAGTCACATCTCCCTGCATGTGACTTGCACAGCCTTCCTAAACACTTGCTGTAAGAGGTGATCTAATGTTTACTTTATTTATTTACTTTATTTCAGATTCTGTTTAATTTAGAATTTCTTATCTAGACCCAGCAGGAGCCTCTTTTTAATTAAAGTTCAATTTACAAAGCAGGAGATAAAAACTTTTAAAGTAAGTTACATCTAATTGAAAATGAAAACATTTTGTTTTAATGCAGACTGTGTGAGTCACAGCGAGGGGAGGTGTGGTTAGGGCTGCATATTCAGAAACAAAAGTGATTTAACCAAAAAAGAAAGAATGAGAATGGGCAAAAGCTTAGAGAGACTCAATAGCTTGCCCTTTGCTAAATCCCTGCTCAGGTCTCAAAATAGTTTTTGCTCACTTGTGCCATTACAGAGAGAACATATCTAAAGCATATCAGACTGGTCCCACCCATACGGGCAGTCCAGATCCGAAATGCCAGCAAGTTCCCTCAGCACGAGCCATACAGCAACCCCAGATGATCGTTTCGGCCTTTTTTGGGCCTTGTCAGTGAGGTGTAGCCAATATCCCTCTAGGCCAGGCATAGGCAACCTTCGACACTCCAGATGTTTTGGACCACACCTCCCATGATGCTTTGCCAGCATTATAGGTGTAAGAGCATTATGGGGGATGTAGCCCAAAACATCTGGAGTGCCGAAGGTTGCCTATCATAGGCGTGCGCACTGGGTGTGCCTGGGCACACCCTAATAATATCCACATTTTTCCGCCCCGTCACTATTTACTATAATAATATCAATAATAATATCAATTTGGGGTAAACCTTTCCCCCCCATCAGCCCCCTGCCAGGGCGAGCTGTGAGGTCACCGAAAATGTAAAAAAATCAGGGATGTCATGAGATGGAGGCAGACCTGTGCCGGCCGGGCATCCTGTCATAGAAATGCTCCACTGTGAAGTTCCGGCGTTCACATGTGCACTGCGAGCCAGAACTTCACTACTCACTTTTCAGCAGGGCTGCTCCTGTTGCTGTGAGCTGGCTCGAGTTATGAGCACAGGAGCCGGCAGAAAGGAGTCAGCAGCAGCGGTGGGGACGTGAGGAGCAGAGCCGCGGATACAAAGGTATCTATGTCTGCCACGTTCTCTCCCTAACCCCTTTCTAGTCTGACATGTATGCTTGGCTAACTACCTCCCCAAACTATCTCCTACTCTCCCCAATCCCTCTCCAAGCTGCAATTTAAACGTCCTAATTCCCTCAAAACGTGACACACATCTTCCCTAATCTTTTTCCAGATTGACACCTAACCTCCCTAGTCCCTCTCAGAAACTGCCTTCTCATCTCCCCAATACTTCTCCAGTCTGCCACCTCATGTCCCTAATCCTGTTTTAGACTAAAACTTAATTTCTTCCCAGCCTTTTCTCTCTCTTCTCTCTCTCTGCCATCCACATCACAGTGACCACCACACACGGTAAGCCAATCCCCAGCACACACAGACACACACTTCACCCCCAGCACACACACACACACTCTTAACTCCAGTACACAGACACACACTTCACCCCCAGCACACACACACTTTACCACAGCACACAGACACACACTTCACCCTCAGCATACACACACAAACACACTTCACCCCCAGCATACTCACACAAATACACACTTAACCCTTAAACTTAATACTTTTTTTAATGTTTGTATTGATATTTATATGAGTGCGCGTCTGTGTATGTATACAAGAGTGTACAGTGGGACCTCGGTTTACGAATTTTATGCGTTCTCCAAGACGTTTCTTATTGCGAACAATGTGTAAACCGAAACGTGGTTTCCCATAGGAATGCATTGAAAACCAATTAATCTGTTCTGGAGGTCAGAAAGAAGTCAAAATGAGCTGGCATGGAAACCAACCCACAATGCAGAACACACAGTAAAAGGCATGCAAACAACAAAGCTCAGCTTCCTACCTTTCCACAGCTTGAGAAATGCACCAAAAAGTCCCAAAACAACTGCAAACTATTTCCAGAATGGCTCCAAAACGCGATGCAAAAGCCGGTCCAACACCTCTACACTTGACGCCTCGTGCTACCCACGGACTCCAGGATGCAGTGGGCGGTGCTATAAACCTCCCAGGCGCAATGCATCCTGGGGAAACTTGCTTTGTATTGCGAAAAAATTTTGTAAACTGAGGCATTATTTTCAATGGATTTTCATTTGTAAACCGAAAATTATGTTAACCAAGGCGTTTGTAAACCAAGGTCCCACTGTATTTGTGTGTGTGTAAATATATAAATATATATTTATATAAACACACATATACACGCGACGTGCGTGTTTGTGCTTTAGGGTGCACCCCCTAATACAATAGGCTGCGCACACCTATGTTGCCTATCCCTGCTCTAGGCACAGTGAGCATGGGGTCCACATCTGGATTACTCTTTTAACTTGGGGTGAGCCAAGTTAATACATTAAAGCAAAATGAAAGGATGAGAACCCTGAGAAACACAATAGCTTGCCCTGCGGTACATCCCCGCTCAGGTGTGAGGAGTGATTTAACTCCTAAATGGCAGATAATTGAGCAGTGAAACTTCAGAGGCATGATATCAACACCAAAACTGCATCATTAGGCTAAAGTTGTGTTGATGATTATAGCGTCTATTTAAAAAAAAATATTTGCAACAGGCTTGGGATTGTTTAGAATATACAATTTAAAGCAAAAAAGTGGCAAGATAAGGCTTGGAATTGGAGATTAGGTGCTGGGGGTTACTTCCAACTGCCTGGAGTTAACCCCTTAAGGACTAAACTTCTGGAATAAAAGGGAATCATGACATGTCACACATGTCATGTGTCCTTAAGGGGTTAAACAATTTCTACTATAGCTTAAAGTGCCTAGTATACACTGGGATGAACCTTCACTCTTGTAAGTTTGGTGCTGCTCAAGATGCCTGCTATCCACTAAACGTGAGTTCACAGATTTTTGCTGCTCATCAAACCTGTATTATCAGTAAATAGGTGTGTGTCAGCTAACTGTGTGTATGTAATTTTGTGTGTCTACGCGCTAATCTGTGTAATTGTCAATGAGCTTGTGTGTCTTAGAGTGTCAGTGAGCTTGTGTGTGTGAGCGTGTGTGAGTGAGTGTGTATGAGAGAACTAGTAAGTATCAGTGAGCTTGTGTGTGTGTGTGTCAGCTTGCATATGTGAGTGTCACTGGCCTCGAGTATGTTTTTATACTCTGCTGTTATAAGCAGTTTGGCATGAACTGGGTAATTTGAATATAAATAGATCAATTTGAGCATACGTTGTATTATGTTTATGTAATTTCTCTTTTCTCTGTAAATTCCAAACTTTCACACACTTGCATTGATGACATGTTTCAACATTTGCAGTTTAATAGGTCAGTCAGCCCCAAATATCTTCTCTAGGTGTCTGGGAATCAAATTTCCCTGTAAAAAGTCAAAATATTTCTTATCCTATGTAATATGTTTTGTTTTTAGTAGCACAGTTTTTGAAAGTATACTTATATTAGAATGTTAACTTTAAATGTTACTTTAGTGAAATGACTAGCTCATTATATTTAGTTTAAAGGAACACAACAGGCAGCATAGGAACATCATCTAAATGAAGATGTTATGGTGCAAGGAGGTTGCTGGGTGCTCTCTTATCTGAAGGGGTTTAACCCCACTCTTTCTTACCTGATTCCAATCTTTGATTGCCTCCAGTGACAAATCTCCAATCCTTCCAGCAGCATCCGGCTTCTGAAATTGACTAGAATGGTTAGTTGACTCTCTAAAAAAAATAATAAAGCGGTCAGCTGATGCTCTAAGCCAATAAGTATGTACCTTTTTTATGCATGTGGAGCTACTGGATGGCTTAGAGCATCAGATGACCACTCTAGCCAATCAGCAGCACCCGTGTCTGGTTAGTACACACATTTTTTATGAATGGGGAGCTACTCATTGGCTTAGAGCACCAGCTGACCGCTCTAGCCAGTAAGCGGTGCCCCTGCCTAATAGCACTTCACACTTCCTGAAAGTAAATTTCAGAGGCCGTGTTTTATCGTGCACACTCAGAATACCTGGCAGCACACTATCCTAGAGAGATGATTATACCACTTAATTGATACATACTACATTATATAGTACTCCTGTCAGTTTTCTGTCTGTTATCTCCAACATATAACCACTGAGGATCTATACCTATCAAATGAAGCATCCATATATCCATAGACTGGAAGTGTACCACCAGGGCTAGCTTTAAGCTCTGTTAAATATAAGTCGATTTCTACATTTCCTTTATCCAGTTTCCATTTACACTCCACCATTGGATTTTGTTTGTTTTTGTCTTACATGTACTTCATTTGGAAGCACAGTTCCCAATCATCTCTGAAAGTTACCTCTATATTTCCCAGGAAGAGATCACGCTGACAGGTTAATGCCACTATTTACTACCACATCATAATGACTTTTCAGCTTTTAGTCATTACCTGCTATTACACTTTATTTCTGTTGGCTTAGCCACACCTTCCCTGGCAGTGACTCACGCAGTCTCCCTATACACTTCCTTAAAAGAATTGTCCATTTTCGAACATATTGGGAGAACATACCACCTAAGTGTCCCTATTTAGAAGAGACAGTCCTTATTTTTGACCCAAATCCCTCTGTTCTCTTTTTTATCCTAATGTCACTCTTCTTGGAGCTCCATATTGTTGGCGTGTCACAGTATGTAACAGAGCTGCACAGCAATAATATCTCTAATAATGTGTCTATAAACTACAATAACTGTGTTTAGAAAGCAGCCTGTATAAATAAGACACAATGTTTTAGTTCTAAATTACAAATTAAGTGCATAAATTGTTATTAATACGTCACCTACAATTTATCAGAACAGCACCATCCCTGGTCACCCCCTCCACTCCCAAAAATGAATGTGTACCTTTTTGTTCATCTGAAATATTGGGAGGTATGGGAGCGTGTGTTGGGTTTAGAAGTTTTATCTCCTGCTTGGTTAATTGCCTGGTAGTGTAAAGCAGTCTATTATGTTATTAGATAAGGAAAGATTATGTCAAAACTTCACAAAAATATTAGAATTCTTTAAAGCCTGCATACTTGTATGCACAAAGAAGCACATTTAGGGACAATTTGGTAAAATTTGAGTATGTTATTGTATTCAATGCATTCATTTATTTGTAAATGAATAATTTAATTATTACTTATTATTAAGTGTTCTTGCATAGCAAGACCACTTAATGTTATCTCACATATATATTATTATTATTAAGTGTTCTTGCATAGCAAGACCACTTAACCCCTTCAGGACGGGTGACGGACGAGGTCCGTCACGCAGGGGAGACCCTTAACGACGGGTGACGGACCTCGTCCGTCACGCGGTAAAATTAACCCCGGATCGCCGCTATGCGGCGATCGCGGGGTTAATGGTGCTCCCGGTATGCCTCTGCATTAGAGGCATACCGGGAGCACCCGGTCAGCTGCCCAGCACATGTGCTCGCTCTGACCACAAGTCTGAGCGAGCACATGTGCTCTGTATACTCACCTACCGGCTCCCTGCACTTCCGGGTTCTGTGTGAAGTGCAGGGAGCCGGATCAGTGCTGATCCTGCCCCCTGCTGTTAAAAAAATAAAGTTTATTTAAAGTGTCCCCCCCCTTACCCATTTTAATAAAAAATTAACCCCTTCCCTGCCAATTGATCACTGACTACAGTGATCAATTGGCAGGGATTACATTTTACTATGATCTGATTTTTTTTTTTAACCCCTGAGGGTTAATTTTTTTTTTTTTTAACCCTCAGGGGTTAAATTAATTAAATTAATTAATTAAATTATTTTTAAATTATATATTTAGATAGCTGGGGTAGGTGGAAGTTAGTGGGGAATTGGGGGATTTGACGTTAGGCTAACTAGGGGTTAACGTTAAAAAAAAGTTTTAAAAGAAACTTTAAAAAGTTAAAAATTAAGCTTAAAAAAATGTTTTAATAACATTTAAGTAATAAAAACAAAAAAACACACTTTACCTAGTCCAAATAAAAATTAACCCCTTCCCTGCCAGTCGATCACTGCCTACAGCGATCAAATAGAGATCACAGTATTATACTGTGATCTAATTTTTTTTAACCCCTGAGGATTAACTTTTATTTATTTTTTTAACCCTCAGGGGTTCAATTTATTTAATTAATTAATTTAAATATTTTATAACTATATATTTTGCTAGCTGGGGTGGGTGGGAGTTATGGGAAAATGGGGAATTTACTGTTAGTGCTGCGTACTGCTAGTTAGGGGTTAACAGTAAAAAAAATAGCTTAGAAAAATGTTAAATCTGTAAAAAAGTTTTAAGAAAGTTTAGGAAAGTTTAAAAAAAATTTATAAGCAAAACAAAAGTTTAAAAACTAGTTTTTAAAAGTAAAAAGTTATAAAAAGTAAAAAAATACATTTTAAAAACGCTCATTACCACTACACCTGGAGCAAACTAGAGAAAAAATTATCCCACGCCAAGGTTCAAAATATGCCTTTTGAATTACCCCAGGGTGTATTCTTTAATAAATAGTATGTGTTTGTGGGGAAGTTTCAATAACCAACCGTCTAAACTATTCCAAATTGGAACATGGACACAGCGTAAAACTTCAAAGTTAGAAAAAAACTGAATGGCTGCGTCTCAAATGCGCCCCTTCAACATCCACATGTACCTGGCAAAGGTACATACGGGGGTATTGCTGTACTCAGCCGACATAGCTGAGCAACATATGAAGTATTATACAGTCGTAGCACACATAAGGTTTGCAAAATATGCTGCGCAAACTCACTTTGTATGTCAAAAAGGCAGAAAAATGCTTATTACCACTACATCTGGTACAAGCTAGCGGAAAAATGATCCCACGCTAAGGTTCAAACTATACCTTTTGAAACACCCTGGGGTGTCTACTTTAAGAAATGGTAGGCCTTTGTGGGGTAGATTGAATTTAAAACCTGCGAAGATGCTTGGAAATTGCACATAGGCCCAGCGTCAAAATTCAAAGTTTGGTAAAAACGGATATGGCTTGGTCTCCTATATGGCACTGTAGCTTCACAAAATAGTGACAAAGACATTCATTGGGGGTGTATTTTTACTCCAAAGACTTAGCTGAGCATAATTTGGGAGGTTTGAACTTAGTGGCACATATGAAATATACAAAACGCCCAGCAAAAATGCAATCCGTATGTAAAAAATGCACAAAATAATTTTTTTACCACATACTTTGGCATATATTGGTGAAAAAATGGGGGTATGTTAAGGCACAATATGCACCTTATGAGATACCCTGGAGTGTCTACTTTTACAAATGGTAGGCCTTTGTGGGGGTTTTTGAACAGTCAAACTGTTATAATACCCCAAATGGAAGCTAAGGCTCATTAAATCCGTCTCTCAAAATTCTACTGTGAATACTGTAAAGGACAGGTCTCCTATATGGCACTGTAGCTTCACGAAATAGTGCCAAAGACATTCATATGGGGTGTCATTTTACTCAGAAGACTTAGCTGAGCATAATTTGGGGGTTTGAACTTAGTGGCACATATGAAATATACAAAACGCCCAGCAAAAATGCAATCCGTATGTAAAAAATGCACAAAATTTTTTTTACCACATACTTTGGCATATATTGGTGAAAAAATGGGGGCATGTTAAGGCACAATATGCACCTTATAAGATACCCTGGAGTGTCTACTTTTACAAATGGTAGGCCTTTGTGGGGGGTTTTTGAACAGTCAAACTGTTATAATACCCCAAATGGAAGCTAAGGCTCATTAAATTCATCTCTCAACATTCTACTGTGAATACTGAAAAGGACAGGTATCCTGTATGGCACTGTAACTTCACGAAATAGTGCAAAAGACATACAATGGGGGTGTCATTTTACTCAGCAGATGTAACTGAACACAAAATAAAATTTTGTACAGGAATAGCACACACCAACTTTACAAAATATACACGAGAATTTCTTTGTTATAAGTTTGTGTGCCAAAAACCAAAAAGAACACAATTTTACTCCAATATTTAGCAGAGGTTGGCGGTAATATGGCTACGTAGAAAGTGTCAAAACAACCTTAGGTAAATAGCCCGTGATGTCTACTTTATATAAATATATACTTTTGTGTGGCAATTTTGTTTTCTTTTATGGCTATTAAGCTTACAAGACAAACATACCAAATTCTAAAATCGCTCCACATTAAAATTTTATTTTACTCCTTGTGCTTTGTGACCTGTAACTACCAAAAAAAACTTAAAATCCCAGACACATTATATATTCTGTAAATCAGAACAAATAAATAAATTTATTTTTAATTACTTTCCTTAACCTGCACTAATTATGCACACATTATTATTGCAAAAACTGTAAAAAAAAAACAATATTTTTCATTTTTTTTGCATTTTTCTGTATTTTT